AGTTTTCTACTCATCGTACCCGATAGAACTGACTCAGTCCCTTTAAAGGGCTTAAGCTTCCGTTTCCGACGAAGCAAACGTATATCGAAAAGTTTCATAAAAATTGCAGTCTCGATAGTTTCAGATCGTGATTTATTCTTTAGAGTCGCACAAAGTTTCAAATCTTTGAAACTTTAAATCCTTGATGTGTCATAAATCGTACTGTTTAAATTTCTATTATTTAACACAACTGAGTTTGTTATTAACTATCATTATTATGTAAAATTTAATTAAGTTATACCTTAGGATTACATTAAATTATAATTGTTATGATTATAAAATAATTTAGAATAATGAGAAATAAATATTTTTTAAACAGCAATTGTAAATGGCAGTGATATTGTCACAAAGGAAAAACGAAATTAGAGCAAAAGTGGAATTTTTAGTCATAAAAACAAATCCTATTTGGCTAACTTTTAATAAAATAAATTAAATAGCAATAGATATCTCAGATTGAATTTGAATAACTATTACGGTAAGATCCACTTTAAATTCGTGTCAGAATTTAGAATGGAATTCTAGATATCTCATTTAATGAATAATAAAATATTCGATAAAATATAATCGAGTAAAAGACATGTTGAAAAAATTGGAATATATATATCTGCATAATATAGTATATATATATATATGTCGAAATAACACGACATAATTATAAATAAAAGTCTCTCCTGAAATATGACGTGAATTATAAGTCACATATAAAGCGAGCTTTAAGCTGTCGAAAAGTTTTTGGATCAAACGGAGCTATTCTTCTTCTTCGATGACATTAACGAATTTAGAAGCGAAATGTGATAATTTTTTTGTCGAAATTAGTTTGAAATATTAGATATGTACTGTGGTGTAAATATGTTTTGTAATATTTCATAGCATGTCAACGGATTACGGTGAGATATATTATTCTATTTTCTTCTTCCACGTCCTTTTTTAAGATTTTATGTATAAAATTCTTCTATTGATATAAAATGTTTTTAAACAAATATTATGTGAACAACAAATTATTCACCTTAATTCCCAAACAGCAAAAATATTTGAAATATATCATAGCGAAATCCTAAAGATATTACGTATCCCGAATATGTATCTCCAGGATATCCCTACAATATATTTTAGACACTTTTGCTATGTGAGTTGCTTTGCCGTTTTAATGTCTGCTAAGATCATATTCCACATCATTTATTTAATAAAAAGCTTGTTAATAACTATTAATTCTTAATTTTTATTGTCAACGTATTGATATTTTATACTAATCTTTTATCCATCTATATTAACTGACAGTAACAGTGCTAAATTAATTGTCTTGTCATCGCAAAGGTCTGATTAGACGCCGTCTCATTCTCTCCCTTTTTCTTCCTCCCTCTCTCTCTCTCTCTTTCTCTCTTGTATCCGCGAGTGATAAAATTAGCATGAACTCACGTACGCTTACGTACCTGCAGTTAAAGATTAACGGGCCATGAATGAATACGAGAAATGGAGCGTGAATGGGACGTTTGAAACGCGACGCTTCTGGTTGCGTTTTCGCGGAGCACCGTTGTCTGGACCGGCGCGGCGGCGCCATGGAAAACGTATATCGTATAATGAGACGATAACGATTATACACTACGACGCGAAACGAGTGGCGGAACCTTCCGGGTGTGTTCTATCTGTTAAGGCGCGACGTTTCTCATTATCGCGAGCTTTAATGCACTCTCCACGTCCAGTCGCGCGAGGCCGATAAATAATAGAGCAAATGCTCAAGCACTTAACGATCGTCGAAACGAGTGGAAACGTTGTGTTACCGCTATATCTTTCCGCGCACTTTGTAGCACTTACGCGAAAAATTATGCAAATTTGTATGCAGATATTTTAGATCTCGTATTATATAATTATCGAAAAGAGAAGAAAGAAATATTAAATGAGAAACGTGAAGCGAGGATAATTTTTTTATCACCCAAATTAATTCGCGAGGGAACCTTCGGAACATGCAACGTATAACATGCAAAAATCGTTGATTATCGCCTGTCTTGACGCGAGATCCAATTTTCGCGTCACGCGAGACGGCTATTACGCGCGAAATGACCCCTCTCAATTAATTCCATAGATGAAGTTGTATCTCGCGCGCGTGCACGAGCCCCCGGAATCGGGGGCGCCTGAGTGCAAATAGTAATGCACGACCGCACTCCCGAAATGGCACCAACATCGACGTCGATCGACTATACGCGTTACACGGGGCATGATTCACTTACAGCACCTCGGCGAACTACACTTAACGCGCATCATCGTCTATGATCCCTTTAATGCGGGGGAGGGGAGGAGGGTGGGAGGGAGGGTGCCCCGCGGGTGAGTAACGACGTGGATAAGCTGGCGGGTAGTCTATAGATGAGCTGCGGGGGAGCAGGACGAGAGACGCCGGGGGGTTGTCTCTCTCTCTCTGTGCTTTAATAAGACGCGCACCACCCACGTCGAACGGTGCCGAAACTTTGGATCGACTTTGATTAGAGCATCCTGCTAATGACAGGGGATCGAGCGGCGTTTAATCTAATATTCGTAACTGTCCGGGCCAGCTCGGTCGGGAACGGGAATATCACCTCCCCGCGCACCTCCCTCCTCTCCGGGGGCGTTCGCCAAATCTATTCGCGATCGCGTCCCGCGCTGATCCTTCGATGCCCTTTCACCTCATCTCCCGTCGACAGACAGGATATTAGAAACGTTCCGACGCGTTTCCATCCCCGCGCTAGCTGTCGCTTAGCGATACGGAGGGGTGAAGGCTCGTTTCTTCCGAAACACACGTTGACGCGTTCAGGTTCGCATTACGCCACCGATTATCTTACATAACTCTTGTAACATCTTATACCTGAACGTACGTCAAACATAAAATTTGTAATGTTACTCCCGTCTTCCAATCATTAACGATAGCCGTAATTTAGGATCAGCCGAGATTTACTTAACAGCGTACGCAAAATCGTCACATGAATCGGCAAGGAATTGCCACAATTGTAAATCGAGAGCTTGTAAACGTGTCGCAAACGTGTCACTTTAGCGTAGACTATAAGGCGGATGTACGCACTTATACCGTGGGAATTCGAATCGATCGTGACGAGAGCCTAGAGAGTTCTCTCCCAGGAAACTCAAGCTCACCTGCTGCAAGCTCGTTTCGCGAAAGTAGCTCGTGAACGGATCGTGTGAACTAGCAACGTATCCACTGAACTGTAACAGTTATCCAAAATGCACGTACGGTGAAGATCACCCGACGATTAAATTTTAGGTTTATTATCCTCATCGCGGTACGAGCCGCGATTACGAACTATGGGCGTATAGGTATTAATCGAAAATGCAAATTCCTTGAAAGCTTTGCAATCCAAAGTAAAAATCGTTACCACATGAATTGACTTATAAAATGAATAATTTCGCCTCTCGATATAGTAATAGATTGAATAAAATTAAACATTTTAATATATTTTGGAACGTACATATTACGTACAATATATACATACGTATTTTGAAAAGTAATCCATTATTTTATGATCTTTAATTATTAATGATTATTTTAAATAATAATTAATATTTTTTTAAACAGATGTGCGAAATTGAATTCTGCGATAACTTTAATAATATTTTCGTCGGAATTGTGGTGAAAATTTTATTATTATGAATTAAATATCGTAAATTTTCAAATATCCGTAATCTACGCAGGTTTTACAAAATAATAAAAGATTTACTTTCCGGTGATTCCTCTGAGGGAAGAAAGCCAAATATATGATAATACCGCAGAGACACTTCTATCACCATAGCACTAATAACGAAAAATATCGAGAGCTACACCGCCATCGAAATAAAATTTTATGGGCGGTTTTATCGAGGCGTTATTGACTTGGGTATAAGAATACGGACGAGCATGATTTTACGATACGAGTTCTCCCTATTAGCTGCTTTATTTCACTTCGTCCAAGTCGTCTCCGGCGGACGCATTTTATGTACGCAAACTGTAAATCTTTATCGATACACAAAGATCGACAATCAAGTCTCAGGGGCATAAAACACGTGTATAACATGTGCTATATAAAAGTTTCTTCCAAATTATGCATTCACCCTCATTCGAGGCTGTGTTGCATTTTCGGATTTTACGAGAAAGCGTTAATTTAAAATGATTTTATTTGAAATTTATTGAGAATTTTTCCATAGATATAAAAGTATTACTTTTTTGTATAAAATTCTATACAGTAAACTTTATAATTTCCAAAATTATGCTGAAAACATGCGCTCTTGCAATGAAAAAAAAATGTAGCGTATGTGGCTCTTCGATTTAAAAACCAACGATAAGAGTAAAAGGATATTTCTTCGTAACGATAGCACGTATAGCGTCCATTCCCAACATTATTTCGAATTGCGGCGAATATTTTTAAATGCCCCTCCGGCCGCAGACACCTGCAATCAAAGGGGGAGGGAGGGGAGAAACAGGATCAAAGGACTCGTACTGAATTTCAGAACGACCGAGTGAGCACCCTCGGGCCGCGTAATCCGTCGGGTCCTTTACACATTGGCCGCCAGGAAGTCATTTCCCGCGCGAGCGTCACCTTAATTGGTGAAAGCTTTGAGAGAAAGACAGATAGAGAGAGAGAGAGAGAGAGAGAGAGAGAGAGAGAGAGAGAGAGAGAGAGAGAAAGAGTGAAAGGGGAGAAAAAGCGCATCGAGCAGCAAATGAGGAACCGAAGAGACTGCGGCGGCGTTGGGTGAGGAGCGAATTCTAAAAAGAATCGTAGACCTCGGTGATAAATTCATCCGCTGTACCAGTCTGCTTCGTGCTTGTCTTCCACGGAAACGCGTATTCGCCGGTAATTACATGAAATTTTGTTCCCTTTGATCGCGGCCGAGATATTGCACCCCTCTGCAGGAGAGAACCGCGCTGAAGACTCCCTCGTCGCCCGCCGTCGTATTTGAGATAAAGTAAAACAGCGTGGAGATGCGTTAATTGCGAAGTTTAAGATATTCAAAACAAATTTTTAGATATTTTTTTTAAGTTTTGCATTAATTAATTAATTAGAGGCGCGGCTGATCGCGGGAAAAAGGTTTGTACTTGGCGATCATAGCTTTACGTTCCTTCGCGTATCTCTTCACTTTTCGATATTCCTTAGCTAAATCGTACAGACTGTTTTCGGATTCCAATCTCTTGGATAAATTCTCTTGGAATCTGCATCTGGAGGTAAAATAATTGTTGCGTCTCACGATTCAGTTTGGAAACTACATTATTTTCTTACCTCAGCATATCGCTTATCCATTCATGCGATTCCACCGTGTAAGATGCTACTTCTTTATTAAAATTCAGAATTGTACCTAATTCTATCCTGCGAACAAATAAAATGAAGATAATTAACGAGAGATCAAAATCAACTTATACGTGCACAAGATGATAAAACTTCTTGAAACTATATGTCAATTAAGATAATCGCGAACCTGACGCTCTTCTTTCTAGCGGAAAATCGTAAACTGATGTTCCTTCGATCGATGATTCGCAAGCCAAGGAATTTATTTAGTTTCATACAAATTATTTTTATGTGATAGATGTCTTCCTTAGGAAAATCTTGATCAACATTCGATCTAAAGACATTAATTATGTATTAATTACAATTATCCTTAAAACGACGTATATAATTTATAATTTTTATATTTGGTTCTCTGAAGCGTTAATTTTCAACACACAAAATAATATATAATTCATATATAAAACATTATTTTAAGTAGGACATTATTCCTGAATGAGAGAGAGAGAGAGATATGCTTAACGAAATATACGATTGCTGTAATTTATTTCCAAGACGGTAGGATGTGTGCGTAATTAGAATGCTTTGTTTGGATAGAATTCGCTCTACTTTTTTGCTTGACATACTTGCTCCCGACCTCTTCTTGTCGTTCCACGACAACAGGTTTCTGCACCTCGGCGACCTTCTTTTCCTTATTTCTCAGGCTGGACTGAGGTGATACCGGTGTCTTAACATTTCCGGAACTGCGAAGCCAATCAAACGTAATCGGAACGTGATGCGTGTGAACATCGTTGCTCTATATACGTACACTCTTTAAGTCTCTTTGAAATCTCACCTTTCCATCGATCTACCAGTCGGAAGGAAAAATTCCATTTGCGGCCAATCGGTTGAATTTTCCTACGGTTTGAAAAATCACGAATTTACATTACTTCATGCAATTTATCGGTAAACAATAACAGGTATCATTTAAAATACTAAAATTTGCATAAATACATCTCCATTGTCTGCGCTCTTTCTGCGCTTATTCTCTTTATAAACAATTTGTTTAACCGTCAAAGTAAATTTATCCTATTTATAATAAAGTTTATTTTATTTAAAATAAAGTTATTCTATTTATATAAGCTTTACAGCTTTAAGAGTTGTTTTTACATATTTCCAATTCGTAATCCGTAATCCGTTGGAGAAGTTAAAGTAGATGAAAGGTTTTGGCTCCATTCGCTCATTCATGATTGATCGAAAATCTATATTAAAGGAAGTGTGGGGAAAAAACTCTGATAAACATCGTTCGCGCGCGCACACGCACACACACATACACACACGCACGCACAGTGCACACACCGTGTACACGGTCTCGAGCATCGACTCCCTCGGATTCGCGTTCCAGGCCCAAACGAAAGGCAGACCGGCTGGATTGTCCGTAAAAATTCCTCCGATCTGGTTGTAGGACAGCCTGCAGAAGTAATTGGAGTTCTGAATTGGCGAGCGAGAGAGCTACCTCGACAGTAATTAAACATTCTTTGTAAATTCTTTTTCCGGGACGTACCTCGCAGCGCCGTCCACGTCGAAAACAACGCCGTGTCCCATGGTGTCGAATATCGCCAAGATCTGCGACTCCCTCTCGATCGCCAATGCGTCTTTGCCTCCTGGCGTGAACACAGTATACATATCGTCTTGAAATTGATAGCAGCGATTTTTTTAAGCCCGTCCAAAAGCCGGTCTCTTTCAGACCGATCGGTATTTACGAGCGCGATCGTCGCGAATCGAATGACAGTAAGATTGCATGAAATTTGTGAAAATATTCGATAAGTAAAAAAAAGAACTGAATATACTCTATATAAATCGCGTTATGTAAACTAAGTCAATTACATTTCCGATTTTCCGGTCTGTAGACCCTGACGGCCAATACGCCGTTGGGATAAAACAACTCGCCAGAACCATCGGGATGGAATCTCGAAAACGGCGTTAATCCGTCGTCGTAATATTCCGTGCCTCTGCGCCGGTATTTTTTGAACCTAACGTTCAAACAAATTACTACTACATCGTTTACCGATTAATTACACAATATCGCATATAGCTCTTGTTATACAGTAAATTAAAATGCATGCTTTGTTTGTGATGCCGTCCCATTAACCTCGTCCGTCGGCCTAATTGTTTACTCGTTAGTAACTAATCATGTGCAAAGTTGGCTATAACATAATTTATTCAGCCCGCTGTTTAGCTTGCTACTTAGTCCGCTTACTTCTAAACTGCTTTAATTGAGCACGCGATCTATTAATTTACCTCAACGATAATCGCTAAAGTAAAATAATCTGTCTTTAATAGATTTAATTGTTTATTAAGATAATGTCTCTACGCTCTTCTGTGCCATCCTGTAACGTCGATAAGCATAAACTTCGGTGATCCCGCAGTGAGCAAATTACAGGCTTTATAACTGCGTTTGAGGCACGCCATTCGTACGTTTTATACTCGTCATTTTTATTTTCGCGTCTGGATATCACCTACCAATCGGGCTTCGCCGGTCTGGCTTCATATCGCACGATCTTCCTCATGATTTTGGTAACCGGCAATCGGGTCCAGCCGAGCTCCACAAAGTGCACGTTCGATAATTGGTACTCGATCGGATTTGAAGGGTCTATGCGAAACAGGAATTTTCCTATAATCGAAGTAACGAGACACGATCGCGTTGCATTGCTCCGCGCAATGCACGTAATGATAACACGATTCGCAATAGCACGAGAGACGAGTGCTCTGTGGAAGCGATCTCAATTAACTCTAAGCGGAGCGTTTGCGTATACCAAATGTATCGAATCTAAAACCTTGTTCTTATCTCTCCGTGAGATAATACACCCTTTTTTTTCGTTATCAGTGTTGTATTTTACACGAGTGTACACACACTTACTAGCTGCCCATTTTCTCGCCTCCTCGCTTCCTCCGTCGGTTGACGACGCATCTTTGCGCTTTCTGTTGCTCGCAGGAAGCCCTCCCTCTTCATTAAGGGTAGACCGTCCCTTTTTCGCGTCACCAGCCGAATCCAACGTTCTCTTACTTCCTGGCCCTTTATTCTTACTTAGAAGCGGCGTATCTGCTCCCTCATCCTTATCCTTCTCTTCTTTCTTCCAATCTCCACGAGCAACTGGGTTTTCCTCGTTTTCGTGTCGATCGCGTCGACCATGCTCATCCCGCGCGAGCCCTTTGGCCGGCTTCCTCGATATCTCCATCGTGCCGCTCTTCTCCACGACTCGATCCAATCGGTCGATCTTCTCCGCGCCGCTATCGGACAATCGCGTCTCGCGTTCTTCCCCGCGGCGTTGTTGATAAGGATTCTTCCCGGGATTTCTACGCCCGTCGCCGCCGCTTTTCTCTTCCTCCTCCTCCTCCTCCTCCTCCTCCTTCTCCTCCTCCTCCTCCTCCTCCTCCTCCTCCTCCTCCTCCTCCTCCTCCTCTGTCATCGCGTTCTCCGTATCTCTGCTTCCTCCTCTTTTTTTAGCCACGATCTGCGATCTGTTCGTTTCTTCTTGCACATCACGTTGAGCCGAGCGGCGGCGATCTTGCCGGTTCTTATCTTCGACCTCGCCGAGTTCGCGCTGATGCGGATTATTGTCACGTTTCCCGCGTATTCTTTCTGCCACCGTGTCGGTATTTCTTGTACCGCCGTCCCTACGTGCTCCACCTGCCGACGTTTCGGTTTTTCCGCGCCCAAGTGAACGACTACTTCCGTTCGCTTCCGATAGATCTTCGTCGACGGTTCCGTCACGGCGATTAGTTTCGATGCCCGATCCGATCGACCGCCCGATTCTTTTCGAGTCGGCTTCTCTTGAAGCGTCTGGAACGTTGCGTTGACGCTTGCCGTACGCTTTCGAAGTGCTCGGGTTTGTCTTCATCCAGCTGCCAATGTGATTCTTGCGATTCTCGAATATCGTGCTTGTGTCATCCCGATTGTCGGCAATTAATCGTAGCTCTGTATCGTTGTTGTGGATTCCTGCAGGGTCCCTGTTTTGCGGAGTACTCCTACTGGAAAAATTAACTTCGCATCCGGCGTCAGTGGAAACGGCAGAGTCCAATTTGGACGTAACCTGCGAGAAGATGGCAAGTAAATCAAAATCGCGAGTAAATTTGTTGATAAAATATATAGTTCAGTCGAAGGAATTACATATGGCGCGTGCAATGAAAGCCATTCCTTTGACGGTCGATCAAGATATTCGGCTTCAGCGCAACAATATTTTTTCTGAAATAATTAAATTGTATACGGAAGTGAAAATCGCTCCTGCTTTTTTGAGGAGGATACGCAAAGCTATTAAATCTTTTTGCGTTTATTTCGTTAAGGTATTTATGTTAATAACTCGTATTTTATACCGCGTATCGCCGAGTCTCGTCGTTGATATTGCTGTCGCAGAATTTGCAGATTTTTAAATGGGATTCGTGGGATCGTGTTTCCCATGGTCTTTCTCCCCATTCGCGAATAAAATTACTCACGAGATTTAGGAGAGTCTTTGTCTGAATATGCGCCGGCGGTTCTGCAATATTACAAGATACTTTATGCAATGCGAAAAGCATCGTGCGAAAAATGCTATCTCTCGTGAATTAGCGGGTGCGGCAATAAAAATAACTAAAGAGATAGCTGCTTGCGTAAATCGCAGCGCTTATATATAATTTATGAGGTAGCGAAATAATTCTATCCCAACGTGATATTGCATTTGCAAGATTTACTCAGCGTATAAAATTGGTACTTGCTTAATTATTTAAATCTGAAACAATTTGCGATAAGCAGACATTTACGTTTGTGTTTATGGTCCATCGCAAATCATTTTTATGTGAGTAAATGCTAATTTATAACGAAAATTAATCTCTTCAGGTACAAAATTAAGAACAATTGTGTACTTTTAAAACTTCGCGGTATTTCGTTTTTTGTTTGAATAGTACTTTTAAGCACTTGGTCGCAGCACATCATGTTCTCTATTTCTTCGTTTATTAACACGAATAACGTCTGAAATTTCTTGGACGTTTGGGTGTGTGGTAAGCCAGTTAGTGCAAATAAAACTGATTCAACCTGGGCTGAATAATTTTTTGCCGACAATAATTTTGTAAGATACTTCGTTAAGGTCTCAACCTGGAAAATTTTTAACAGTTGCACATTATAAATAGATATAGATGTTCCTGTTTTTATTTATTTCTTTATTTAATTAACATTTTGTTTGTCATATTTATTCGGATTATGTCCTCTGACTGTGAAATATTCGTCGATTTACGACAGCATACATTATGAAAAACATTTGTGAATAAACCTGATCGTTTAATTCTCCATTTGAATCGGTTTTTATGAATACCTGTCATGTTCAATGAATATCTGACGCCGTCATTTCTCATTCTACCATATCTATCGTTATTTTATTATTTGTAAATTTTAATACTTGCAACGATATCTTTTTGCAGTGAATAAAATTATATTGAGTATGATTAAATCTGGAATAAGGCAATGAGTAAAAATTAATTTGAAAGTTATTATTTATCATATTATTTAGTCTCAAAAATCCAAGACCAGCATTATCGGCAATTAAGTTTTATTTGTTTAATATTTGATACTTTTCATGTTATTCACAAGTATTTTTCACAAGTGCTCCCTTCTGATGTTTTATTTAAACGTACAAGTTATTAAATTACGTGTTTTAATATCATATAAGCGATCAGTTTAAACATTCTGTTAGATAACAGATTGCATCGCTTGTGAACAATTTTGATATTTGCACAATAACAATTATTTCATGTTTAAGTATACTTTAAATACGAGAATTGATTGCAGTCATTGCATAATTGGGAAATGTTTTATCCACCATACATCACATGCGCAAGTGGATATGTGATAGAGCGATAGTAATTTAATTATCTTGTATTTCGCCTTTAAAAAGTCAAAATGACTTTATGACTTTTACATATTATATTATATATACTTTTTAAATAATATATGTGCTATGTTAAAAGAAAATTATTAAAGTAATAATTACTTCGTTATTGTGCAAAGGAATCCCTAATGTCATCGTATTTTTCCCAACTTCTATTGAAGGTGTTGACGTTCAGCAAGTCTCGTTACAATAGATCGTCTCTCACGTTAGTTTTGAATTTTATATGAGGTCAGCTAGAATTTCACCGCAACGCGTGGGTGATTACGGGCTTCATGGCGAATCTTTCTGGCGAATCAGTCTGCCGTTATACCATTTGTTTCGCCGATACCAATCTTGGTCGTAAATCGTCGGCTCCTCGTGACACTTTTTATCGATAAAGCAAGCCTCCGCGGACAGGCGACAACTGACATTCGTTACACGAAGTGAGATAACCGCGTTTGTTTCAATTTTCGCGATAACCCGCAGCCACCTTTAATGTTTACAGTGCCATTTGCAACGCCAATAAAGTATACAGGCTGTTTTAAATTAGATTAAAAAAAAAAAGCTAATGGCATGACAGTTTAGAAACCTGCTTCTTCGAACAAGCAAGAATAATATTGACGCACTTACGTAAGCGTCTTTCGTTTTATTTGTATTATTGAAGCTATACAGGAAATAGAACATACGTGTATATTTTATATGTGCATATAAAGTACTGATTAGCGCAAGTGGAAAGTCCTTTTTATCAATCACCCTGATTGCCGGGAAGAATAAGAGAATAGGGTGCTAGCGTTCGCGTTGGTGTGCCTGAAACTTTTTTATGACGCCAGATATAATTTATTGGCCACTCCAAACAAGTCCCCGCACTTTTATATGCGAGCGCGCTCCTACGAAACTGCAATATTCATTTGAATACGACCGAAAAAGGGAAGGGAAAACGGCGAGAGAAATAGCATTGCTGAAATCAACATATCCTACGCGCTTTCGTGTACAGTTTCGTGCGCGTAAAATAAAAGTTTATATGGAAGCTATATGTGCGTGCGTGCGATTGCTTACGAGGAAGAGAACGTAATAAAAACTTCATCTGTACACCTATTGTAAAAAAAATTGCGGTGTGATAAAAATTACTAAAATATCTTAGAGCGGAAGCGTAACAGCGAATGAAGATTAAAGATTAAAGCGAATTTTCAATTACGAATTAATTTTCCAGGGTATGACGAAGCTGTTGAGAAAAGTATGTATGTGTCCGTTTTTCTGCTAAATTAAATAATTAGATAATATGCAAATATTCTTCCGTCGTGCATCTACTTGCCGTAAAAGTAATTATGCAAAGTAAATGTAATTAACGACGTGTATATAGTGCGGCTTACGTATTTTCCCCGAGTCACGAGAACGCGTTAACGCATGAAAAATAACACTCGTTTGCGATATATAACGCGATCGGTGCACTCGACCGCCGATTATCCTGATATTTATGAGCCTTCGTACGAAATCGAATTTCCACATTTTGAACGACATAAATTTCCGGAATACGAAATCGCGCTACCGTACAGTACGTGTAAGAATAATCATATACTTCAAACGATCTCCGCGCGCATGGCGTTGTTACAGAACGGGAAAGGTTCACGTAGAATTTTTACGAGCCCCCGGAACCATCTCGATGGTCTTCCGTCCCACGGGGGTCGTACATGTGCCGGCGCATATATATACTCTAGATTAATATAATATCGCGAGGCGCAATGTTAATATCGTCACGTGAGTGCAGCAGCAGCAGCAGCAGTAGCGACGGCGGCGGCGGCGGCGGTATGCGTCATATGAGGAGGGCCTCCTTGTCCTTTGCAATAACCGTGAGAGCTAGGTAACGAAGCGTGCTTATTCTAACACGCGGTATGCGTGGAGTAGCGTTCTCTGCAATAGTAGAGAAATTTAAATACCGCGTTTCCCCCCTCCGGCAACTTTAAGGGCGTCTGTGCCGCGCATTCGAGGAAAGAGTCTGAATTTCGACGGATATATCATGGCACACGTGCGTGCGAGAACGCTTGGAGAATTCGTGGATGGCCATCAGCAGCCGTGAATGGCATCTGAGTTGGCAAATTCGCGATAAATACACTCGAATACACTGAAAGCACTCGAGTCATTTTCATGCAATCTTGACGTCCTCAGGAAAATCCTGGACGTTAAATAAATTCCAGAAACTCTAGATTTTTAATCCCATACAGTTATTTTTTAAATGAATTTCTCGACATTTTGAATTGCTGTAAATTAATTATTAATAAAAATACAATGAGCAAACTTGACAATAATTTAGTTAAAATTATATGGGGAAAATGCTATGCGTTTGTATTAATAATGCTCCGCCGAATACATCCGCATGTACAGCGAATGAACGGGCTGGCAGTTTTATATACGGATTGAACGGGCGGTCACATAAAAATTACAGGCTTGGTGGACTCCAGCCGAATTCATGCTCGCAAATATTACGGAATAACGGATGAGAGTTAAATATCTGTTCGAGCGTTTTATTCATTTTTAGATTCAGATTTTAGATTTAAATCATGAATTTGCTTCATCAACTACCGCTCAATCGCGTCTTTCGAAATTATCGATTGAAAAGTGCAAAAAATATCTCGCTTTTCGTAGAATGTAGAACGCGTATTAAATTTACATTTTAATTATAATTATTTTAAGGTCGACCTAGTAATTTTTGTAACATTCTTATCTAGCTCTGTATGACGCGATTGCCCGTTATAGTGTTGTCGACACGGTACTTAAATAATTCAAAGTGTACCCTAACGTGCGGGGTGGATGGGTAATCGATAAGAGTTACGTAAATACATCGTTGGATTGGGTAAGTTTACGTTAGCCCTTGCGTTGCAACGGTTGCGTGCAGTTCTCTCTAATTGCGTACGAATCTGATTTTCATCAAATATCGACACTGATGGGTTTGCGCGATTGATGGGTATATACAGAATTAATGAGCGTGAATTGCGCTATCGAGCGACGCATATTACATATTCGAGTAGAGAAATTATCGAGGGGGGGGGGGCGAGGGAGGGTAACACGATTAACTTTACGTTTTCGAATGATGAGGTTTAGCTAGAAAAATTATTTGATATTTTCCGACGACATAAGCGCAATCGTGAATAAACGCCGTGCTCTACTAAAATTATATATTTATCTACTAAAATTATCTACTAAAATTACAGCATTTTAATCCTGAAGTATAATAATTTTTGGATTTTAGAATGAATTTTTATAATTTAGATCGAAAGAGCTGCAAGTACGTTTGATTTCATGAGAAATAAAATAATAGAAAATTAAGAAAAATAACAATGAAATATGATAAGAAGTCAATTATAAACCTGCACGAGAGTTAATATCCGCGATTAACTGTAGACTTTAACGAGGAAGATTACGTATTTTTTTCGTAACAATGTCGCACTGGCGCGAGCGAGGGCGATTCACTTAAAATTCTTGCACGAACATTAAGTCTTATTACATTACTCTCGGAGAAAGAGAGAGAGAGAGAGAGAGAGAGAGAGAGAGAGAGAGGGAGTCCAGGTTGTGGTCCGTGTATATTTTTTTTCTCTTCTTTTTTTTCATGTTTTTTCTTATCCATCTCGACTCAATTAGCGCGGCTCTTCTTTTCAAAGTCCGCGGAAATTACAAAGCGCCTCACCGTCGCTTTATCACCCATTCGCAATTATTTCTCACGAGGGAACTGGCACGGCCGGCTCTCGTCACGATGCCTAAGGGACATAATTCCCCGGGGCGCTCGCCCGAAGTTCGCGGTCGACGAAAAATAATATAAAGTACTCTAGAATTAATTAATTATTTTTATCCACGTCGTTTTAATCCGCGCATAAGGAAAAGATGTGCAGATGATCAAGAAAAAGGGAGATACGCAGATTTATATAAATAAAAATGATCATGTAATTAAAATAATTCTCAAACAATTAATTGTAACGAATGTTGTTGTTTGTGGATACATTTTTCGCGCTGGTATAATAATGTATACAACACATTTCGCGCATTGTATGTGTGATCTCATACGTTTCACATATTTGTGTATGTATCGGTATGTATGAACGTATTTCTCTGTTCGTGTATGCATTTATATGTTGTGTGTGTGTGTGTGTTTGTATGTGTGTGTGTGTGTGTGTGTGTGTGTGCTTAAAACACATACGTAAAACATATTCCCAAATTCCGGGAATATTCCTCGATGGATATCTTAAGTACTAAGCGAAGTAAAGTAAAGAAAGGGTAATGTCGTACAATTTTGATCAATAAATTAAGTTAGATCGATCAGGATGTAGTTAGAAGAAGGATAGAGAGGGAGAGACAATAAATAGAGTCTTCTCGTTGTATCTTAAGCGGCTCAGCGAGCGTTCCTCGTTTTCCCGGGGGAGAGGGAAGGGGGCGACGATCCCTCGCCCTAAATTAAACTTTCAGAGGACGAGCGTTTATGTTTCGATGACTCTGCAGCCCAATTTCGGGACAAACATGTTTGTCCGGGAAGCGCTCGGTGAACCGCTTGAGATTTAAGAACGCGAAATAACGGTACCACCGAGGCAACACCGCCGCCGACGTCGGCGTATGACGTCGAGCGTCGCGACGCGGGTCGCCCGGCTCGCGCGCGCGCGCGCGCGGAAGCCGCCGCAGCAGCAGCACCGCCGCGGCACGCGACGAGCGCGCGATGAGGTACAACGAAGGCGATAAGAAGAAACACTTTCGTTTTTTTTTTTTTTAGAAGTATACGATGCGTGGTATAAATAATAGCGCGTAACACACACACGGTGATCGGAGAGACGCGAGACCTGAAAGCGGGTCCTGAAGGGCCGTCTTGACTATCCGCGCGGCTTATTTACAATGCCCTCCTTAGAGACTACTTCTGGCGATTGCGCGATCGATCTCTCGCTCCCTGATACCGAGCTGCCATCGGGCAAGACCGTCGAGTAATCGTCGAGACGTGGAAATTACGTTGATTGCTACGCGGTGACGCCGCGGTGATCACGAAGCGTCAACGGAGATCGACTCGCGATAAATCATTCGGTATTCATGGTGGCGCGCGCGCGCTCCAACGATCGCGATGATTGGTATAGAAAAACCTGATCCCAACCGCGAAACGATCGGTAGAACACGCGTCAGGTGGCTCCTCTCTTTTCCCGTTTACCTTTCCTCTCCCCTCCGTTCCGCTACTTCCTCGTCAAATCGTGCTTCCGGGGCCTCTTCTATACTTACACGCTCTCTACTCGAAGTTCCCCCTCGTTCAATCGAACTGCACGCCCTCTCAATATCGATTTCGAGTCGTTCCCTCCCGATTCGACGAGCGCGGATTAACGCGACTAGACGCGAAGCTACCGGCTACCTTCGACGGAAGAGGAGAGAGAGAGAGGAGAGAAACGCGGTTGCAACTTTCGACGAGGAGAATCTCCGACGTGTGGTGACGTGTCTTGAGTTTCGGATATGAAAATAGCCGGTCCCGAAGCATTGCCCGTCGTCGTCGTCGAGGTCGACGATCCTCCGAAAGGGGGGGGATCTCTTCCTTCTCTCCTGCGGCGAAGTTTATTATTATTATTTTTTTTTTTTGATTTTGCGCACCGTACACGCCTCTTCAGTTGGCGACTTTCACGAACTCCGGATTCGGCACGCTGCAGTTCTCGGTCGCGTACACCGGATGAACGAAGCTGCTCCCGCCTATCGCGGCGTTCTTGCGGTCCACGGCGCGCACCCTGACGAAGAGGAAGGCCGCGACGAGGGATGCCACCACGACGACCAGCAGCAGCATCACCAGGCCGCCCACGAAACCCGGCAGGCTCATGCAGATCGTCTCCGGGTCGGTGGACGCGCTCGAGTTCTGTATGACCACGGTGGTGTCGTTGCTGGAGTTCGTCGTGCCCAGCGCGAAGTTGACGTCGCCCGGCGCTACCACCTGGATGACCCTCGAGGTGTTCACGTCCGTCATCTCCTGCGCCGCTCGTTTGTACACGTGGGTGGAGAACAGGGTCACCGTGTGATAGATATTCTGAAAATCGAGGGTAACCGTTGTAATATCGGAGAATTCGCGTCGTAGTAGGATACCGAACGGTACCGTAGAACGCGTCATTGATAATGTATTCGCGACGAGCTACATCGCTGGTGAATTGAGAAAGAAAGATGAGCAGCTTACGCTATGACGACTCGGCAAATATCACTTGCCTCGGAAAATAATCGTGTATATTCTTTAAAAGCACCTCTCTCACATCTTATTTTCAAAGTCCTTCGTGTCACTTGGATCATTTACTATATATTTACTATTTGTAGCGATCGTGGCGCAGAGAGTTGTGCGATTCCTTCCTGTGCCGAAAACTCGAGTTTAAATTCGACCAAGAAATGGGATTTTTATTCGATTGCTACCTTTCGTGGAAGGCACTCGGAACCCACTGAGAGTATATTCATATTATATGTATAAGAGTATCATATGAAAATCGCTCTTATTAGAACTCGCTGTGATTTGATTAACTACAGTTTTATTTAATAATGACCGACGATTCAATTTTAGTTTCAGATTGATTTACGCGACGGTTTGTACTGGCAAGTTTGACTTTCGTTTCTGTCAGCTTGCGCAACTTTGTTGATATCACTTTTTTTTGCTTTAAATCTCTCCCTTTTCAAGAATCCTTGATACATACGGCGATTTTTCCGCATTTACATGCGCATGCATTTATGCTCCTTCTTTGTTACATTTATTTACTACTTAATACTTAAGCCGTTTTAGTTATTTCGACTAAATTATTAGTTGTATTAATTTATATGTGTGTAATGAATTTTATCATTCATATGCCGGTCACAAATACCTTTGATATCAATCGCATTATGATACTAATTTTTTTTCTATTCATGCTATTTTACAGCGATCGTGGCGCAGAGTTGTGCGTCTTCTTTTTATCCTGAAGACTTAAATTCAAATCAATTTAAATCTGACCAGAAACATCGGATTTTTATTCGATCGCTCGGAAGGCAATGACAAACCACCGAGAGTATATCGCGGCATTGCTGCGATAGTGTCATATCTCGAAAAATGACAATTTTGAGTTATTTATTGGAAAAGATGGATTTTGACGTGTACTTTTATCTGATGATGAAAAAATCAAAATTGTCAATTTTCGAGATATGACACTATCGCAGCAATGCCGCGATATATCTTGCCATGAAAATGGCTTCTAATTAGGCCATTTAAAACCAACGTTAAAATTGTAGGCCTCGTACATCTGTGTAAATTGTAAATAGCGCACAGAAATACATTGAGGGGTCATCACGATACTCGTGTCGGGTTAACTAAGAAGAAGACTATATGTATAATATATTGGTAGAAAGTAGAGATTGGAACACTTACGCTATCGTCATCTTCGAGGTCATGCGGCTCGTCGTGCCTTCGCCTCCTAGCGCCTCTGAGCTCAGCCGGGAAACCTTCAACCGACCTCGGTCGACCTCCGAGGATGGCTAGGTTACCTCCTTCGAGCTCCTCTGTGCCGGCGGTTCCTTTTCGCTTCACAGTCTGGTACGCCGCCGGATGGCCGGGCAGAGGAGGCGGAGGGAGGTGGATATTATCCTGGGGACTTTGGGGTGAGCTGCTCGCCGTAGCGTCACCCGGCGTCGAGCTGGGCGAAGAGGACGAGGTCTGCGCCTGCGGTGCCGGAACCACGTCCGGATTCGGCTCGCTGCGGCCAAAAATTAATTTATATTTCATGTTTTGCAACAATTCTCTCATATTCCTACACTGTCTCTTATAATGAACATATTCTCCGAGCGTCAGAGAAATTATTCAGAAAATAATCTCAATGAAAAAGACGCGGTCGAAGAGAGTCTTCAAAAGTTACGACACGATGCATTTACATTACGCGCCGTTCATATACTTAATACGCAAATTGAAAAAGTTTCATTCTAGCAGCCATACTTGATGCAAAGCTTGCCAAGAGGATAAATGGGGCGGTTGAAAGATGCAGTTTTCTCAATAAAAGATGAAGTTATAAAGAAATTTTGAAAATATCTTGAATCACATACATCTTTAAATAACGATTCCCTTATACTACTCCCGAACATATTATTCTCTGCCCTCTCGCAGATATTCAGAAGATGTTCAGAAAATATTTTAATGAAAGATGCGTGAAAGTTAGCTATATACAAGAAATTCTGAGAATATCTTGAATTATATATCTTCAAGTAAGACAAAATATCCTCTTCAGAGAAGTATTATAATTTCCCAGCAAGGAAATCTTAATGGAATCCGGCGAATTTCCTTTTGCGCGAGACGGTAAAGATTTTAATGAACGCTTCATAGAAAAGCTTTCTTCAATAATAACACGTTAATGCGCTCGTTTGCTCTCTTACCTGTACGCTCCGGCCGGTCCGCTGGGATGTCGCGGATCGGGATAAGCCGGCGGTACGCCGTATTCGGGCACAGGCGGGGCACCGTACTCCGAAGAAAGACCTTGCGAGACCGGTGCGCCATATTCGTGAGAAATGCCGCCGGCAGGTGCGCCGTACTCGAGACCAGGATGTCCACACTTGGGCTCGGGGCAATTGTACCGGCAGACTTGAATCACGCACTGGAAGTGGACGTTCATGCTGTCGGGGAATTTGAAGGCCTGGAAGTAGGCGAAGCTAACGACGGACGCGCTCGGGCCGAAGTTCTTAATCTTCTGGAACCTGCAACGGAAGAAATGTGTGTTTCGTATCTTTCTCGTTTTGAAAAAAAAATATATATAAGCGATATAAAATATCTAGGACTCACCTGGACATGATCTTCGGCCTGACCACGCAACCATACTGATCGACCAACTGAATCGGCGCCCTCTTACCATCGTGAGCGACGCAGTTTCTCACAAGCATGTCGAACTTGTTCTCGTCGTCCTTGATAGCGAGTACCATCGTCATGGTCTGACCGATCTTGACGATGCCGGACACCTCGCTGGCCCACGGCCCCTTGCCGACCTGTATCTGCATCCAACACTGCAGGTTGTCGCCGAGGAAGTTGGCGGTGACGGCGTGTAGCATGTCGACCTGGAACGGCCTGAAGGTGACGGCCTTCTCGTAGAAGTCGTACCAAGTGCAGCGCAGCTTCCTCGCCTGGTCCCACACCTCCTGCACGTACGGATCGTACTGCACGATGATCGTGTTCTCCACGTAGCTGCCGGACGGCGTCGGGGCGCCGTAGGCGGCCACGTTGTGGTTCGCCGACGAGCTCATGCCGCACGAGTTGAGGAAGATCTCGAAGGTCGCGCTCAGGTGGCCGGTGCCGGGTTTCAAGTGGACGCAGTGCGGATCCGAGTAGAAGCCCTTGCTGAAGATCATACCGTAGAACGGCCGATCGAACTCGATGTTCACCCGCATGTGCGTCTTCTCGCACTGCACCTGCAGATGCTTGATCTGCGGGGTGTCGGGCGACGCCAGCGGCCAATTTTCCTCGTGGGCGATCGGCGGGCCATACTGAGCCGGGGCACCGTAGACAGATCTGTGCTCCAGAGGCAACGCGCTGCTATCTACCAACGGCGCTTCACTTCGCACACCCTAACAACAGAAATAAACATCTCTCAAAAATTGTATATGGATGTAAGTATAATGTAAGTAAATGTAGACAAAACCGGGCTGGATATAAGTATTGAAGTGCGAGAGCGATACGATCGATCACAAAACGTGAACATCGATCGAAGTAGCGTTTATATCTTCTTGCCAAACTTTACATTAAGATGCAAGAACAGTTGCTTGAATGAAACTTTTTCGATTTGCGCGTTAAGTGTAACGAATAGCGTAACGTGAATGCAATGTGTCGCAACTCTAAAGGCTCTTCGGCTGTACCGCAACAACCGGGCGACGATTTACATGGAACGCGAGTGCCCTTTTCGAGACCCTGCACGTACGCGTGTCGAAACCGTCCCGCGGTTCTTATAACGGAGATTCCGCTGAAGTTTTTAACCGAGTCGCGCAACCAACGCGTGAACGTGACAAAAAGCAACGACTCGCCGTTCTCTCTTAACGTCGTCTCGACTCCTTTCTTTCGACAACGCCCCGCGAAGCGGCATACTTCTCTGCCGGACACACTTCTTTCTGGAATTACAATAAATGACGCGAGTACATTTCTCTTTTACACGTCCCTCTCGCGCCGTCATAGTCTTACTTCGTCATGCAGAAGCGGGACGTGTATTAAAAATTCCGCGACTGTCGCCAGTGTTGCAGTCTTTCACGCATTGCCAATCGAGCGCGATTTACAGCGCTCGAAATTCCATAGAATCTCGAGAAGGGAATCGCGTCCTTTAGAAAAGCTCTTCCGAATTTTACCTTGAAGCTCGCTACCGCAAGTCGAAAGGACGCACAAAATGAAATAGATCCTTCGCATTTTTCTTTTTGCTTTCTCCTTTTTACTATTTATTATTTCCTTGCAGGATAATCATAATGCTAAAGATAAATTCTACAGCAAAGATAAATTCTAATAAGATTTTTAATTTATAAATTAAAAGTTTATTTTAAGGTATTTCTTTACGTATATAAATTAGCTTGAGACTTACTAAGTAATATGTTTATGCTAGATCATAAAATAGGACAAGTTGTACAATTTATAATATCTTAATTTTATTTTACCACGTTCGTCGCGCGGTGTTAATTCTTCCACTGTATGTTCTACAAAATAATCTTTTTATCAAGAGCACGCTGCGACCCCGACATGCTGATTTAGTTTATTCCGCGTGGAATATGAATCGTTGCCGACGCCTTTGTGCCGGCGCAAATACCGTGTGTTAATAATGCTTGAGAATATGCTGACAAAAAAAAAACGTGACCGAAAACCCGTGTACTGTTAGCCAAAGGAACACTCGTCGAGAGGAATCGAATGCGGGCTCGCGTTCAGAAGGTCGGAGCCGCGCCGACTCCCTCGGGCAATTTTGTATTCTGATTTGGCCAGAATTGCAGGACGGTAATTACGCGAATCTGCGTACCGAGACCAAAATGTCTTCACTTCCGTCGGGAGATCGTTCTAATACGATTTTACCCGTAGCAGCGCGTCTATCATATCCTCCCATGCTTTCCCCAATTTGACACGCAAGTCTAAACACATTGCTTCGTCATTAACTTAATATCTCCGTGTTAGCATCGGGCGCAGCTCACATTTGATTCCGCGGCACGAATCACGTACGGACGCGAGTAACGTTCGAAGTAAACGTACAATTAACATAAAGACAATGATTGTAAATTCGTAAATGGGTCTCATTGACAGATGTAATTCGCGTGCTAACGAGGTATCGTGTTTTGTTGTGCCTGCACAACAAGAAAATGTAGAATCGCACGGGAAATTACAGTACATTCAGGGATAACTGTATTAAAATTAGATCTCGTCATATTGCCAATTGCGATAATTTCCATTATGAGGTAATTACGGAGACCAAACGTTCGCGTTTTACGCATACGTGATCATAAACTGGGTCACATAAATCTTATAACTGATACAGTCATTAATTACTAAATAGCGCACCATTGATTTGTATCTATTAATTTACTAATATAAATTAATTGATTATTAATTTATATAATAATAATTATGCATTAAACATATTATAATAATTAATTAGGAAATTATTGATGTAAATTAATTCATATTAATAATTTCTCATCTACGTATCTATACGTTTCTTGGAAATCGTAAGCCCTGACAGTTTTTAATCATTTCTGAAATGGACAATTGCCGAGCTTTTACAATTGTTTTAAGGCAATATACTTTTAAGACCTCGCTATAAAATTGTTTTGGGGCGTCCAATCTCGAAATGGAGAAATTCAATCTTCGCCGTATCTTTTATACTCGTCTCGATAATACGGTCATGACTTCCCGGAAAAACCGAGGCAGTTATCCGCGTACCGTAATTTGGAGAGCGCTGATAGTCCAGGGAGGGAAGCGAAACGGGAGGCATCGCGTCGTGCGTTAATCGTCGGACGGTACCGGTCGTGACAGCCGGATGACAGTGGCGATTCACAATCACCGGCGGTACGCGGTTTGTAAGCTGGGCAGGTCGCACGGCGTACGCATACCTGTCCGCTTTCTTGTTCTACTTGCACCTGCGCCTGATCAGGTTCACGGACTTTCTGGATAGAAAAGTACGGGCGCGGAACCGGTCGTCGGTGTGTGTATAATCGAAATCACGATCCGCTACGATCGTACGAAGTAAGCGCGTGGTTTCCTCTCCTTCTGCCGGTCCGCCGAATTTCCAGCACGAACGTGTCTTAATCATGCAGCATAGGTCGGGACGAGCCAATTAGTCCGTGAATCTCTTCACGAATAACATGTCCGCTTGCCACCTCCGTTATTATTACACATATTCGTATTTTATCGAATTTTTATTCTCTTTTCACTTTATTACGCTTTCTTTTGTCACTCTATTAATCTTCTCGAGTACATAAATGGGTTAGAAATACAATTACGAATTTCACGAATCGTGAAACGCGATGCTTCTACATTTACCGAAAAATAACTTTCACGAGAAATCGTTAACCTTAATACCAAACCCAGTTTTCATGATAAATCATTAATCTTGAGACGAAATGTCTTTACGTTGGCTTGCGTGTATATATAAGCGCGTTCACGCTTTAAAACAACCTATATTTCAATGAATGGTATCGCGACAATTTAGCGCGATACATAAAGAGCTTCCCTTATTGAAGTTATTCACCTTAATTTTAAATAAATCTTAAGTGTCGATCCACAATAAGGACTTAAAGCCTTACGCCGTAAGATATCGACCAATTACAATCGATTATTCTTCTCATATTCGACTACGATTGGTCTATTTCTTACTGCTTAAGGCTTAAAATCCTTATCGTGGACCGACACTAATAAGTAAGAAATTTTCAATTTTATTTCATTATAAAAGTTAAAATTAAAAAAAGAGAGATAGAAATATAAATATTTCGAAATATAATTATTTCTGAATCACAATCTGAACATCACGATTTTATGTAGCTTCAATGACAACTCGAGAACTTGGCTTAAACTCATCTTCCTTTTTCTTAAACGAGACGCGCCACGGTCGAAGGACATGCCGTCGTCGCAGCAAAAAACAGAAGACAGATTTCACTTTTCCATTGTCATCCGCCAGACGACAAATTATTCGCAATTGGACAACGTACTTTCACCGAATCGCGTGTGCAGAACGTAGCGTCTTAATTGTCACGGATGTAACGGCCCGGCGTTCGTCCGCGCCGACGAGCATTTCAGAGGTTCCGCTTTAATCGCGCGCATTTTGCACAATAGCGCTATTGGCTGTGCCGTTTAATAGGTGTTGAGTGCTACGGCGGACACTAGTGTCCGATATTTTACGCCGACGGTATATTTTTATCTCCTGCACGTTGCATGCACGAAAGAGCCCGCTAACATCAACTTTCGACACGAAAAAGTTAGACGCTTTTCTTTTAAAATCGGCCATTGATTTCATACTTTTTATTAATATATGTATATTATTGCATATCCGAAAATTATACTTATTATATACATCTTGATTTTAATATTTTCTTAATCCGCCGATAAAGTACAGATACGTATAATATTTTAAAGATACCAAAGCAAAAGGTGCGATCAGTGCGTGATGGCGAAGATCGGAACGATCGTCATTCCTGCTCAGAAGATATTACAATGAAAAATTGATCCGCGGGCGGTACGCGCATACTTGCAAATTCGGTGACTTTCTCTCGTTTAGAAAGCATGGCATTTCTGCGGGTCCACGTAGTGTGCACTTAACGCGGTCCGGTATCAAAAGTAAGATAACGAATTTTCACGCGGAGAAACTTAAAAGAGTCGAAACACACAGCGAGCGATGTCTCTCTTCGCCTGTATATGGTGGCGAAAAAGTAGGCCGGGTCAGTCAACGTGGACGTATGTACGTCGGTACCTACATGTCGCATACGTTTCGATAAGGCTATTACGCGAACCGCTCGGCGCCGGGCATTATTGAAGTGTCGTGAGGCAACTCGCGAAAAACATCGGCGTCGTCGACTCCGGCGCGAAATGTGACGTAACCGCGTTTTCCGTTCGGTTCGTCGCGTAACGACCCGTCGATCGCGCGCATTTGCGAAAAACAAGATCTAATTGCACCGCCGAGCATAATAAATTCTACGAAGCGAATTTCCCGTTAATCGTTGACTTAGTTGCGAATCAGTACCAAAAAATTGAGCGTTAATAAATAATTATATATGTAAGTATGTAGCAGCGGTGCGTATCGATAATATAAAACTGGAACGATCGCGCCAGTGGCTTAGAATAGTAGAAGGTAAAATGTGATATATATATATGGCACGCTTATCTTTACCCAAGTAAAATGAAAGACATTGATCGCTCTAGTTCAAGGTGCTAATATTATCTGTTTTAACAGTCGGCGATTTATAAGTCCGCCAGACTGCGGAATTACTTTTATACGGATCATTCCTCGCGCTCTCAATTGTGTTAAATCGAGAATTTACTTTCGTTGAAGAAAATCGTGTCAAAAATTGAAAAGAGAATTAAGGCAATCAGGAAAACAAGGATATTCCCGGGG